ACGGGCAACATGGCGGAGGGAGAGAGAGAGAGAAAGGGAGCTTCCGTCCTTACATTGATTAATGAAACACAACCGCCACAATTAAAAAGTATGTATCGGTGCAGGGAAGGAGAGAAACGCTGTGATTGGTAGGTTTTCTCTTTCTTTTTTATAGGGGCTTACCGAGTCACCTGTAACCTTGGCCGAGCTATCTCAGGAATACAACTGGGTCCGGCCCCAATGGACTGAGGTTCACGGCCTGTTCTTGAGGCTCGCTCTCTCCTTCCGGGCTCTTCTCTTCCACGCGGAAGAGCTTTACCTATAAAAGGCTCTTGATAAGCTCTCTCGAGCCCCTGGTTTCCTGGGCAGGGTTATTTGGATAGTCCTTCAACTTCTTCCTCTTCTTGCTGTCATAAATCAAAGCCACCTGACACTTGGTTCCTGACTTTTAAAACAAACAGGCCTCCTTCCTTTCTTTGGCCAGGTCAGATGAAGTGTATATGAGCTAATCTCACGGGCGTGTTTTTCTTGGTCGGATGCCTGGGAGAAAAGGCAGAGTGACTATCTCAAAGGCAGCCGGAGCAAGAGATTGTCACTTGAAAACGAGCTGGCCTGGGTGTAAAAAGAATTACTCTTTTGTCTCCCTTGGTCAGGAGAGTGGAGGTGCTCCTCCGAAGTGACACTCTGGGTTACACGGGGTGGGGTGGGGGGAGTTCGCCCCACTTTTCTGCTTCCATTGGTTTGTAGCTTCTGACCATCAGGATGTACGCTGGCCAGTGCCCTTTTTCCACTCAGACCCAACAAACTAAGAGAAGGCTTTACACACAGCACTAGTTAGAGATGTGGCATTAAATGAGGCCCACGAAAGGAGAAGGGGAATGGAAATGTTTCTTGTGAGACCATCTGGGAGGCTGAGAAAAAAACAAATGAAGGGCACACGGCCTCAGGTGTTCCCGGTCTGTTCCTTCCACGGACACTTAGCGATGTCATTATGGGGGTCTTCGGCCTTACTTCTAAGACCCATCGGAAACCATCCTTGCCTGTCAAGATGACACATGGCCGGGATGGGATTAAACAATCTCCCTCAAGGCGATGCTGAGACAGATAACTGCCTTGAACCCCGGCAAGAACCAACAACAAAGCCCACGGACACCCTTTCTGTTTTTGAGGGGAGGGGGCTTTATTTGAACCACCCCCATCCTTACTATACCTGCTCCTTTAAACATTTGCATGAAGAAAGTATTTCATGACTACAATGGGGGATGCCATCTTTGGACTTGACCTGATAAACTCATTTCTTTGCCAAGTTATTTCAGGCTCAGCGTAGCCACAGCTTTTCCATTATTTGGTGAAGCTCTCAGGAGAGGACGGCTACGATTCAAATGCCGGAGCTAAGTCGCCCCTTGAATTACTGTGGGATGATGACCCTGGGCGGTCACTAAAACCCAAGTTGAAATGTGTGCAGTCCTTTACATGTTCGGAATGAAAGACAATCTTAACCTAGAGCAGGGCTTTGCAAACAGAAATATCTGTGAAAAATTCTTTGTGGTTCAAAAAAAAAAAAGATAAAGGGTCACCGTCAAAACAAATGGAGATTATAGATGATAGCTTTAAAAAATTAACCTTATAGCTTTAAAAAATCAACCTTAATGTGCCACCATACATATACATTTTCAGACAGTAGCTCTCCACTCACTTCTTCCCCTGTTATTCACTGCTTCTTGACAAGCGATTACTGATTTTCACTGCCAGCTCCCTATGGGAAGGCCAGAAGTCTTGTCAAGGAAAAGAAAATGTCAAGTTCTCAGCTGAGCCCGGGTTCAGTTCTTAGGCCAGTCTCTCTATGAATGTTAAAGAAACAGCATCTCCTGTCTCCAAACCACAGGGTTTGCACGACATACTCATCCAGAAGAGTTACCATACTTGTGTTTTTCTTTCCTTCTTCCTTTCTCTCTCTCCCTCTCTCATTTTGTCTTTCCTTTCTCTCTCTCTCAATAAAATCTTGCTCTGTTGCCCAGGCTGGAGTGCAGAGGCTCAATTATTGCTCACTGTAACCTTGAACTTCTGAGCTCAAGTAAACCTCCCACCTCAGCCTCCCGAGTAGCTGGAACTACAGGTGCGTGCCACCACACCTGGCTAATTTCATCAAAATTTTTTCTTGTAGAGATGGGATCTTGCTATGTTGCTCAGGTTGGTCTCGAACTCCTGGGCTCAAGTAACCTTCTCACTTCGGCTTTCTTGTTTTTGTTTTTGAATGTGCAAATGTGTGCTGGGAGATAAGACTGGTTGAGAAGCCTGGAATATTCTGCACAGAAGCGGGATACACACATCAGCTCCACTCCTTAAATTATTCCAAAGCCCGCTCTGATCAGCAGTGCAGTGTTCATTTAGACTACCATGCAGAAACGGGGGTTCACGCTGCTCCCCACAGTTGCCCTTGTGGGGACATGCCGGGGTGCAAAAGGACCCCAGATCTGTTCAGAGCGCACCAGTCTTTCCTTTTCTGAGTCAGCAGAACAGGACAGAGGCTTACACAGGAGCGGGTTGTCTGAGTTCAGCACCAGTCCGAGGCTTGGCCTGAGTGTCTGCCAGTGTGGCTCAATCCAGAATCAGGCCCTGGAGTGCTGACCGAGTCTGACCTGCCAGCCTGCGAGTCACTTACTATGTGGCAGAGTGACAAGTCCCATGTGGCATTTCCAGCGAGCTGACAGCCAGCGCATGCAGCCTAGTCCGGTCCACCCTGCTCCCCCGAGAGGGGCTGTGTGTGACACTCTGACCTCAATTTAAAGATAGAACAAATGACACAGCCCCGAGTCGGCCCCGGCTAAATAGTATACATCACACGTCGTGACAGCTGCTCCTCCTGGAAGCCCAATTTAGTCATTTGGCTGTAAGAAAGCTTCACCACATGAGAGTTGAGTAGAAAGGCATCCCTGCTAACGCTGCTTCTGGGTACTTATTTCATTATTGCAAAGACTGGTCTACTTCTCAGAAGAACAGGAAAACATACCTATGTTCTTAAATCCCAGAAAACTCTACCTTAATGTAAGAAATAAAACAACCCCAAAAGCCCCAAACAAGTGCAAATACACAGTTTAATTCCCAGATCGTATGTGGAACGCTTCAAGTTCAAGACAGAGCTATATGTCTGACAAAGAACTGAGTTTTAACTCAATCTTTCCAAATAGGTTTTGATGCCTGACGCACATTCAATCCCAAGCTTTGTTTCTCTCTGTATTTTCGCCCGCACCTTTCTGGGTGTGCAATAGAGACATACATCTTGGTTTGTTGTGTTAATCACAGGCACGTTTTGTGTTACACTTCCTGCATGTCAGTCCTTCAGTGATTTGTCTTGCCGGGGCACTCTAGTATTTTTAAAATGTTTTATCTACCCCAGGGAGAAAGGAATGACCATCTTTTGAGCCTCATCTGTGAACCTGCATGGTGGTTCTGTCTGTACTCAGGCCCTCTCTGTACCCTGGTTACCTCCTAAGTGAGGATTCGGTTTTTTTTGTTGTTAATGCAAATCATATTTTAATTATTCCAATGCCCAGTCAGTTGTGGATATTCCAAAATAGAAAGGGTCGGGAAGCAGCCTGACAATACAATAGTCAGGCACTGTTGTCTTATTTCCTGATTTAGCTCAACCGTCCCCAGAGGGCCTGCGCCATTTTCCCCAGTAGCAGCTGCCCAGAGTATTTAGGCTGTCCAAAAATCTGGTCTGGCAGCCCTGGCAGAGAGGAGAACGTGCCCCCAGGCTGGTCGTTTACTAAGGGCTCCAGGTGCTCACATTCATGCCCGAAGGCCTTCAGGTTTGGCCAGATTTAGAATGGAAGGCTGGCAGCGGGGAGGGTGGGGGCTTAGAGTGTCTCAGAATTCAGGACACGCCCTGTTCCAAAGGTACCTGGGTCTACACTGTTTGGAGAAAAAAAGGAAATTGCATCAGCATTGAGCAAAGATGTTTTCTTGAGACGTCTGGAATTGTTTTCAATTAAAACCGCCTGCCTGGGTCTCATTTAAGATCCCAGACACATTGGGCTGATGGTGACAATGGTGACAATGGTGACAACGGTGTGGGCCTCAGGCCTGAGGCTATCGAGTGGACAATTCCTGTGTCCGACCCCTTGTCTCTGTGCTCTTTCTCTTCCTCCTGAGATTTCCATGGTCATCTTGTTCACCCACACCGTGGGTCCTCTGCTCTCCTATCCCAGCTTGCTCATTCTCTGACCCTAGAGCTGTGAGTGACAGGTGTGTTCCTTTGCTACGCAGACCCATTATGAACTCATTCACTTCCCAGCAGTGAAAACAAGCGTGGGTTCTAATTTCAGGGGATGACAAGGCCCAGTGGTCTGGAGATGGGGAAATGAGTATTTAGATCCTGACTGGGCTGGGAGCTCCCAAGGGTGCTACCCCCACCACCCTGGCCCGCGGGGTGCCCCCTTGCCAGGAAGAGGCAGGCAGACATTTACAATATACATGGGAGGGGCTATGCTTCTTTTCTTTAGTTATAGAACGAAAGGGGCGGTGGAGGAAGGGGCTTTATGCATCCGGATCTGTATCTGTAGAGGAACGAGGTGCAGATTTGGGTTGGGTACACCAGCTGCCATGCACCGAGCGCAGTGGCCAGCCATGCAGAAGGGCTGAGGCCAGGGACACCTGGGCAGCGACGGCAGGACCGGGCCACGCGGCACCTGGACAGGGTGCAGGAGAGACCCTGTCGGATCATCGATGGCTGGTCTTGCTGGGGATGTGGCTACCAGGTTCCAGTCGATGTTCTCAGGTTGACCACCCAGAGACTGGCATCAGTGCAATCAAGAAGTTGATGCCAACTCCGTACAAACATGACAGGAATCAAAGCGAGAGATCGACCTGCCTGAGTGAAGTCTGCATGCTGCCCGGCAGCCTCGATCCGTGCGTTAACCAAACAGGAAGCAAGTATGCCCGGCTCTAGTTACACAGGCTGGGTCTCCCACGCCACATAAAACTCCTTTCTCTTTTTCCCAGAACAACTAGCACTGATGTTTAAATACTGGTGAAACATAATGTTTTTAATTTCACACCTCACAGAGCACAGTTGAATGCTTCGTAACAACGGAAACAAGAGTTAGGCTAAGCACTGCAGACTTGGTGGGATGGGAGGGAAAGACGGCGTCCCTGCGGCCTGTCCTCCGGGCTTGCGAGGGAATATGGAACTAACAAACGGCTTGGCTAAGGCCACAGAAATGTGTTTTCCGGTGTTCTGGCTGCGACGCCAGTCTCTGCTGAAAAAGACCTGTTAACACTGGGTGCAACAAATCGAATCTCTTTCCTACGATCAGTTGAGAAGACGCGCCTTATTTCTTCCGCGATTTCTTTTTGGTGGTGTCGTAAGCTCGGACGATTTCTTCTTGAGAAACAGCTCCGTGCTCTTCTTGAGAAAAAGCGTACCCATCTGGAAGAGAAGCACACAGAGGGGACCGGTCAGCAGGGACATCTGGGTTTAGAGTAAGCTGCGGTTTGGGGGACAGCGCGGTTGTGACACCCTGGCCTCCTGAGCCTTGGATGGGTGAACCTGACATGAAGAAACCTGTGACCACGGAGGGGACGTGGCCAGTGGGGAATGGTGGCAGGGTACAGTCTGGTCGAGGTCCAGTGGTGCTGGCTGCTGATGCTGGGGTGAGTCTGGCTCCAAGGGGTGGGTTTCCTACTTTTGGAGGGCTGCAGAAAGAACAGATCATAGGTCTGTTTCTCCAGCTCCCATCACTGGTCAAGATGACGTGCCCCACCTGCCTGGCACAGGTGGGTGAAGCCGTAAGCTTCAAGAGGACGTGCCCCACCTGCCACCGGCTAGTGGGTGAAGCTGTAAGCACATCGGGGAAAACCCACACAACCTGACAGGGAGAGTCGGCCAGGCGCACGTGGTGCTTGGAGCTTTCCTGTTTTAAATTGCACTGATTCAGAATGGTGCTAGGTAATTAAGTGGGTTTATTTCCGTGTAAATAAAGAAAAAGATCACACGACAACGTCAAGAGGGATCTAGTGATTGGACCTATGGCCACAGGAAGACTGGCAAGCAGTTCGTAGCCAAATTTTGCTTTTTTTAACAGACCGGTTCTCTGTCTGTCGCCCAGGATGAAGTGCAGTGGTGCAATCATAGCTGACTGCAGCCTCGAACTCATGGTTTCATGTGATCCTCCTGCCTCCGTCTCCCAAAGAGCTGGGACCACAGGTGCGTGCCACTATGCCTGGCTATTTTTCTTATTTTTTATTTTTTTTAGAGACAAGATGTCACTGTGTTTCCCAGGCTGGTCTCGAACTCCCAGCTTCAAGTGATCCTCCTGCTTCAGCCTCCCAAGTTGCTGGAATTACAGGCATGAGCCACTGTGCCTAGCCTGCCAACACTTATACATGCTACTTGTATGAGGCACTGTTCCACATACTGTTTACAAATAGCTCATCGAATCCTCCCAGCAACCGTGTGAGAGACATAATGGTACACCTTCCCACTTCACAGATGGGAAAACAGGGGCACAGAGATTTCTCTGACCTGCCCAAGGCCTCAGACCTAGTGAGCTGCATAGCTGAGAAGCAATGCCTGGCCGTGTGACTGCAGGCCCGAGCTCTCCCGTGCCTGGAAGAGGTTCAGCGTTCCAAGCCGAGAGGAGGCTTGGCTTCTACCAGGCCTTCCCACAGAGAGGACATTTACAAGTCGCGCTCCCTTCTGTGTCAGCATGTGGAAAAGTCCCACATCTCAACTGGACATGCTGGCCCAGAAACAACACAATCAGAAGCCCGATGATGGCGACTCCTACCCATGCCTGTTTACGATTTAGCAAGGAGCCGTGAGTTCATTGTCAACCTCTTTAACGGAGAAAGGAGGTCAGAAATTGTCCCGAGAATCAGCTGTGGGATTACTGGTTCATGTCCTCAGACAGCTGGTTTGAAAAGGAAGGTTTCGAGGGTATCAAGACATCGGATAGTACCATGTAGGAGTCTCCCTGGGGCTGGAGAAGGGGAGGAGGCGTCAAGAGACGTCGCCGGGCCGCTTCTTACCCTGGTGCTTGGGCACTGAGCATCCCAGGCCCTGGGCTGGTTTCCCAGCTCTTCTGGAGAGTGTGGCTGCCAGCCACTGCCAAGAAACCCGAGGGCTCAGCCAGGCCCTCCTGGGAGGCGAGGGCTCGGCCACAGAGGTGGCCTGGGGATCGGCTGAGGACATGGGCAGGGCAGCAGGGAGGAGGGACTGGACCGGTGAGGCCACAGAAAGGAGGGCGTGAGCAGGCAGAGGAGAGACAGAGCAGGCCCAGGGGAACCGGGGGACAGAGAGGAACCTTCCACCAGGGCTCCATCTGCCTGCTCACCTCCAATTACAGCAAAACAAAGCCCACACCCCAGCAATCCCGCCTCGTGGTCTCCAGGGTGAAGCAGCTCCCAGGGTGCATCCCCAGACAGCTGGGTGCAAGGGCATGGGGTCCCCGAGGGAGACGGGGCCAGCTTGGAACGGGAGGCTCCCATGGGTGGACGTGCCTGCCCTGGGCCCACGCCTGTGCACTTGAACCTCCGGATGGCGGTTTTTCACACGAGGCGGCGTTGCTTTGATTCTAGAATCTTCGCACCATCGGCTTACGGGCACAGAAGAGCACATGCAGACGCCCACTTCTGTTCCCTTGACAGTCTTTGGATGTTTGCCAAGTTGCTTGATCAGAGATCACCAGGGCCAAGGAACCTACCACTGGGTTCGAAGGGGCTAATCCAGTCTTCTGCCTCCCTCCCGTCCCAATCCCCCCACACAAGGTGCACCTTTGAAGCATTTTTACTGGTCTGAGAGGAGACGTCTTTCCTCAGATGTTTCAAAACAAAATCTGGCAAATAACCCCGTCTCCTCCAGTGGCGAGGCTGTGTGCCATGGTCCACGTGGACAGCCTTCATTCTCTGGTCTTCTTGAAAGAAGCGTTGCCAGCACACGTCTGTGGTCCCAACCAGCAGCAGCGGCCTTTGGATCCACGTGCTGCTGGGGCTGCCCCTGGCTTCTGTGTCCCCCAGGGATGCACCTCAATCCCTTGGAAGCAACCTGGGCAAGGAACAGTGGTCCAAGGACATGGAGGTGCTCTTATAACCACTCTGGGGGTAGGCAGAGGACATAGCCCACGCCCTGAAGGCTCCGGAGCAAAAAATAAGGGTTCTAGTCCTGGCCTGGCTGTTGCCTGGTCATTCTTCCTTGGGGTCCTTCAGTCCTCTGGGTCTTGGTTGATTTTCTTTTCTTTTCTGTTTTTAGAGTCAGAATCTCTCTCTGTTGCTTAGGCTAGAGTGCAGCAGCATGCTCATGGGCACGGCAGCCTCAACCTGCTGGGCTCAGGCAATCCTTCTGCCTCAGCCTTCCAAGGAGGTGGAACAACAGGGGCACGCTACTATGCCCAGTTACTTTTTAAAAAATTTATTTATTGTGGAGATGAGTTCTCACCCATTTACCCAGGCTGGTTTTAAACCCCTGGACTCAGGCAAACCTCTCGTCTCAGCCTTCCAAAGTGCTGGGATGACAGGTGTGAGCCACCGCGCCCGGCTGTTTGTTGATTTTCTGCATTAAATGGCACGGACCAGGTGAGGCCCAGGGTCCCTCGAGTTCCAGTCCTCTCTCTGGACCCTGGGACACTTTCTGGACCAACCACACCCAGGCCACAGAATCCTCTCCTTCCTTCCATCTAGTTCACACTCTGTACCAATGGCAAGGCTCGACATCCATGCCAGACAGGAAGGAACGGAGCCTGTCCCAATGGTCTGTCCAACCAGAACAATGACCACCTACCTTTGTTTTTAGCTGCCTTTTTTTTGGTGGGGGTGGGGGTCAGATATGAAGGGGACTCACTGAGACATACAAATAAGCATTATTTGGAAGTGTCCTTTGGGGAAATGTATCCTAGCTTTTGGAAGTCTACTCCCTGTTCAAACAGAAGGAGTGAAAGCTTTGCCTTTTGATTACGCTGTTTTGCATTCGTAACATGTCTGTGCCTACCAGGAACCCAACTCTAGGGGTTTTTTCAACTCACAGCTGTCACTTCCTTTGTTTACATTAGTGCTACTGTCACAAGGGCCTCCCCTGGGCTCACAGTGGGACGACTGGGCCATCCTGGGGTGGGAAGGGTTTCTAGGTTTCACTTGGAAGAGACAGAGAGGGGTTCCTTGCCCTGCTGCAAACCTCTCAGAGTAGGTGGGACACTCAGAGGTCACTGCCCAAATGTCCCTCCACCACCATCAAGTTCCCATTGGCTGCACCTCCCGCCACGTTTCCAGAATGTTGTGCTCTGAGACTTTCTTAACCTAATGGAAAATTAAAAGGAACTCTCAATTTCAAGAATGAAAGGAGGATGGCCTGAGAGGTTAGGCACGAGGCGGGAGGGTCCTCCTAGAAACCAGGCCTGGGGGTAGTTGGACCCATCATGGGAGAAGTTTTAGGGGAACAGCAGGCACTACCACCACTCAACTGGCCTCGCCTGTACAGCTGGGCCCACCTGATTTGGATGCCAACCAGCTCCCCGCCCTGCCTACTGACCATGGACGTGCCATTGGCATCCAGACGGGGCTCACAGGCAGCCTCCAGCCCTCAACATTGCCACTGCCACTGACTTTCTTTCAGGAAGTCTCGATAGCCAGAGAGTCTTGATGGTCCAGGAACACTCTCCACCAGCCCACCTGGGACTTATCCGGCTGTGAGCTTCCTAATGCGTCGGCTTCCCACACTCAGCCACAGCCCGGACCTGGGGACCGGATCAGGCCGGTGAAGGAGAGGGGAGGACGGACACATTTCTTTTGTCTTGATTTCTCTGGGTAGAACATTTGGTGGGGTCCATAAAAATCATGTCGTCTTTTTATTACTTTGGAATATGTCTCCATAAGTAGCATTCCTTGGAGTCTGAGCTCTGATAGCATCTTAATGGAAGTAGCAGTTTCCTGTCTGGAAAAGGATCCCCCATAGCCACAGAAATAGCCACACCCACGGGGGCGATGAGGAATCAGGCTGTAGCAGATGCTGGTCTCAGTGACACATACGACGTTGGTGGCTCACAGGAACGAGAGCTACTGCCCAGACGCGGGTTCTTCCTCGGTTCTGGGACAGACCCAGGAAGACTTCCAAGGCTGAGGCATGTCTGCAGACCTCCTTGCACCCCAGGCCCACCTCTGACCTCTGGATGATCTTCTCTGGTTGTTAACAACAGAAACGTTCCGAGGCATCCATCAGTTTCTAGAACTAGTCGCTGAGTATTTGTAAAAATGTGGTGTGATGTTAGCAGCTTTCTTATTTCTTATATTTGTTCAGTAGATTTCTTTTAGGCTTTCAAAATGTTGACTTCAGAAAAGCACTTGGTAGTTGTCTTAAGCCATTTACGGGTCTCCCATAAAAGTCTTCCCTTGGTCTTCGATCGCAACATATGTACTGTGTGTACTTTGTCTCAGGTTGTTTTGAAGCATTCATCAGACAAGCATAACCCTGTGGTTCTGGGAGCCTGTGGGTAGGTTCCACATGCCTGGCATGCAGAGGGAACTGTACAAGCAGCCTCGTGAAGACTCACTCACAAGGGCTGTGGGAGATGCACACTAGCACCATTCTTGTTAGTTTTTTCCAGAGGAGAAAATCAAAAATTTAGAGAAGGATGTAAGTTTCCTAAAGTTATTGAATGAATGGCAGAATCAGCCCTATATTGACTCAACCCTACACTGCCGGGCACTGTTCTGGGCACTTTATATACTTGATTGCATTTAATCCCCTCAATAACTCCAGGTGAATTCGCATATTATTCCCATTTTCCAGATGCAGAAACAGAGGCAGTAAGTAACTGTAGGGCGGCACATACATAGTGACGACACGAATGCACCCTGGACTTGGCCCCAAGCAGGGGGGTGGAGCCCGGGGAGGGGTCCTTGGGGTGGCCAACCCGGATCTCCCCTTCCCCTCAGGCTCTGCCCTGGGTCTGCAGGCCATGCTGAGGCCCTGGGCGAAGTGTCCTCCTGGCCGCCGACCGCATCTTGCAGCCCTGCACAGGGAATGTTCTCGAGTGCCGTCCTCGAGGCATTCAGCCCCCTGGGCTGGTTCAGACTAGATTGGGCCACTTGGATCGATGCCCATCACCTCTGGTGACCTCTAGTGCTCCTTTGCTTCAATATAATATTAGAAACCCCAACCCTAGAGAGAATTCACAGCTGTTTCATGTACATGTGATGAATGCATAAGCATGTTCTCACACGGCGCCTGTGCACTTGAAATCCCGCCCCTTTCATGCTTCACCCTGCCCTCTGCTCCGTGTAAGATGCTGTGTCACCCGTGTGCCTTTTACCATCCGGAGCAGGTCTCTCCCGTCCACCTGGCTGCTCCTGAACTGCCTTCTCTGTAGGAAAGTTCCCGAATAAAGCCCGGGTCTCGTGTGTTGTCTCCAGGTCATTTCTTCAGCCTCTCGGACACAGCAACTCCCCTTTTGGGGTCTTTGGGCGGGTGTCTGGCACTATAGTAACTTGCCCAAGATCATCAAAAAGTGACAGAGCAGGGACAGGAACCCAGGTGGTCCACCTCCAGAGGGGTGGACTCCACCTTTTGGACTGTCCCATCAAACCTCCTGACTTGACCTTTCTTGGGCCAGAGTTGGAGGCTGTGACCCAGACCCCAGGGGGCATTGCTGGGCAACATGGCCAGTCACTGTGACCTAAACCTCTGCTCTGTGTCGTCGGGACTGGCACCACTCAACTCCTGGGATGGTGGAGAGTTGAGGGACAGAAGTATGTCAGTCCCCTTTCCTCCCACGTCAATATTCCCCATGGGAATGTCCAACCCTCTCTCCGGGTGGAAAGTCTGCTTGCTAGTGCCCGTTGACTGGTGCAGTTTGTGCTCGACAGAGATCCCACCTGACCTGTGCGTACAATGATGCTTTGCTTTTCTAAGCTGTTCTTTTTCTGCCAGTCGCTTCCTTCTAAACTCCCTCAAGGGCAAAGCCTGGAGATTTCTTTCCCAGTGACTGTCATCGTTCCACTTAATATGCATTCTATTAATGACATATAATAGTTCATATTGCTGACACGGGGGGGGGCAACAGTTTAAAAGCATCACTTCCGTCTTTTAAAAAAATCCTCTTGGGAGGCTGACAGAGGGTCTCAGCCACATCAGGAGTTCAAGTCTAAGGATTTTGCCATTCAGGCATTTGTTGGTGCCAGGGAAATCACCCAGCCTCAAACTCTGGCCCAAGAAAGTGGAGGGGCTGGAGCAGGTGGCCAGATGCCAGGATACCAGGGGCCAGATACACGCATTCTCCTTCCAGAAGCTGGACCCCAACACTGTGTCCCACCAGTGCCACCCCTGCTAGGAAGCTTCCGCCCGGCTGCCCCAGGTTGGCTGAGCTACTTACGTGGGACACCCTGCTGGATGGAGCTGCCGCGGAAGAGGGTGGGGGGCGTCTTCCTGCTGAGTCTCTTGATCAGGCGGTCCCGCTCATTCAGCCTGCAGGTAAAGCAAATGTCAGTCTCCAGGTCACCGGCATGTTGTAAAGGGACTCGGAGAATAACCTTGGGTTGTACAACCAGGCAGACAGAGGGAGCAGGGAGTGGAGGTGGGATGGGGGTGGGGACGGGATCGGAGAGGGATGGGGCAGAGAGGGTGACCTTCCCTGCATCAAGGAAGGCGTTGAGTTCCACAAGCTGCCTGTTACTGCAGCAGATGCTGCCTGGGTACCTTGCGGCCGGCCCCTCTTCGGAAAGGTGCCCTGTTTCACTCCATGGGCACCCTACGCCTCCGATGCTGCTTTCCTCCTCCCCCCAGTACACTACACATGCTTTTTACAAAGCTGGCTTCTGATCTGCTTCTCTGGCAACTGTCTCAACCCCCCCTCCCACCTGCAAGCCTGTACTCTGTAGGCAGATAAGCCTCCCCGCCCAGCACAAGCCTGGGTGTCCAGGACTCCAGCCAAAGGAGGCTTCTTTCTGCAGAACCTGAGGCTCGCTGTGAACCCCCATGAAAGTGAGGGTGAACTTCCTTCCAAAACACAAGGCCAAGTAGCTCTCCCTGCCTCTTCTGGACATGTTCCCTGCAAGGTCACCACTGCCGGGAAGAAACATGATGCTGTCCTGGACGGTGGGTGCTGCTTTCTAGAAACCCAAGGGGTGCCTGACAATTGCCAGGCAGGTCAACGTGCGCTGAGTTCTCACCATCAGGATGTCACTTCGTTTGCCCCCAAAAGAGGCTCCTGGTCTTTAGAAATTGCCAGTGACCCTCTGTTAGGGTCTAAATAGCGCCCCACATCCGCCTTCCAATTTATATGTGGAAATCCTGACCCCTGAACCTCAGAACGGGCCTGGACTTGGAGATAGGGTCTTTACGGTGGTCACTAAGGTCAAATGAGGTCGTTAGGGTGGGCCTGGATCCAGAAAGACGGGTGTCCTATATGAAGAGGAGCTTTGGGACACTGGCAAGCACTGAGGGACGCCATGCAAGGACACAGGGACAAGACAGCTGTCCACCAGCCACGGAAAGAGATCACAAGAGAAACCAACCCTTGATCTTGACCGTCTAGCCTCCAGAACTGTGAGGAAATGAATTTCTGGGAAGCCCCCCAATCTGTGACACTTTGTTACGGCAGCTCCATCCTGTTTGTGGGGATGTGAAGACATATAAAGTCGTATGAGGAGCTGCAGGTTAAGGATGGCATTAGGGTCAGCACCCTCTGTGGTAAGCCTTGAATCTGAGGAGGGTGAGGGTTAGGGTTAGGATGCGGGTTAGGGTTAGCACGCTTCACAGTGAACCTTGAGTCTAGGAGGGCTAGGGTTAGGGTTAGGGTAGGGCGAGGGTTAGGGTTAGCACCCCCTGCAGTGAACCTCGAGTCTGAGGAGGGTGAAGGTTAGGGTAGCACCTCCCATGGACCTCAAGTCTCAGTAGGATGAAGTTTAAGGTAAGGTGAGGGTGAGGGTGAGGGTTAGCACCCCCCCTCCAATGAACTTGAGTTCAGGAGTGTTAGGGTGAGGGTGAGGGTGACAGGTTGGGAGTAGGGTTAGGGTTAGCACCCCCCTTCCAGATGTAAAGTCTCAGGAAGCCCTTTCTCTACTACAGCCCTTTCCCCTCTCATTCTCCCGGGGCCATGGAAAGAAGATGGGAGCCCTGGATGTTCTCTATAATCCTGGGAGCTCAAGTTCAAGTTTCCAGAAGAGAGCATTTCTGATTGTCTTGGTTGAAATGTTCAAGTCACCAACAATTAAGGGTAAGGCTCCGCCAGCTCAGCAAAACGGCTGGTGGCTGAGGAATGATCCCTGTTCCCCCTTTCTTTTATAGGCCTAATTCATCTCCGGGGGTCCTGCTGAGCACCTGTCTGGGCCTGCAGGAATGTATATACACATGAGACGCGTCCCTCTGGCCAAGTGCAGAGAGCCCGCCCTGTTGCCTGACCCCAGACAGCCTAACCAGCCAGATCCGAGGTGGGGACCCAAAGAGCACCTGATACACTCTGCCCCTGGATCCCGGAGACCACGCAGGGTTGGACTCTGCCCCATCCGCCACCTCTGCCCTGGACAGTCCAGAAGCTCCTCCTTGAGATGGAGCTTATGGGAAAACATCACAGAACCACAGAAGTGGGGGGACCGTTGGGATCACATGTGCTGGCCTCTCATGGGGCAGGCGAGGAAACAGAGACTCAGTTGTGTCAAAAATAACACAACAAAGGTCACCCGGAGCTACGCTGGCACAGTTCCAGCCCTGCCTTCTGTGCCACCTGGTTCCCTTGTGGATGGGTGTATGATATTCTTTTTCTAAAACAAAAAATAATAATAATAAGATATAAAACACTTGACTCCTTGCTTTGGAGGGATCCACTCTATGTCACAGCCCTTCCTCCACAGGTGGTGAGGGGTCCACGGCTGCTCACAGTTCACATCTGCCCATGGCTCACACCTGCCCACCACCTCAGTTCCCTAAAAGTCCCTGCTCAGTGATCCCTTAAGCCTGTATCCAAGGTGGAACCGACCTCATCCCGAGCTCCATGGTTTACAATAGACTATACAGCCAGTGTGTACATCCTTGGGCCTGTGGAGAGGACTGAGGGTGCTTTTTGCACAAATCTAAAATTGGACCTCTTATGTAAACACGGACGCCCAGTTCCCAGTGGGTAACTTGTTCTTCCATCCACTTTTCTGAACACATAGTGTGGCTCACTGCTTCTTTGTCAGTCTAATGGGTAACTTTCTTTCTCTTTCTGTTTCACTTAAATGATATCCCTACAAATTTGCAGCTTTATGCACAGCGCACTGAAATTCCCGCCTCTGAGTCCTCTATGTGGGGTGATATTTCCAGGCAGCCTCCTTGGCTTCAGTTCCTTCTCACCCTGCTGGCTTTTATGTTTCTGTGTTTGATACCTGAATTTCCTCATCTTTCTTTTGAGCTTCATTCTGTATCAAACACCTGACTTTGTTTATACTTCATCCAACACTTCTGTGTGTTTGGAAAGGTCTCTTCTGAGTTAGCTCCATCCACCACGCTGATTGTACCCGGTTTCCATAAGTAAGCTGTATTTCCCTGACCCAACTACTGAAAATACCATGGATACAGAACAAGATCACAGAACTGTGCTTTGCCAAGTCTTGGTATCCTTAGAAACAATCTCTGCTGAGACTTTTATAACAGTAAGGAATGTGACGAAGCCCTAGGTTATAAAATGGGGCCAGAGCTTATAAAATCCTTTCACTGGAGGTGTCGGAGGCACTGATTTCTCCATGTGCTCCAATGTTGAAATGTCAAGGAACATTACTTTTTAAATTTACCCTTTTCTTTTTTGAGGGATAAAGGACCATTGTGAATTGACATTATTAAAATTTCTCATGGACAATAATGCTGGAAAAGCCCAGGAGAGAAAGGTGTTGAAATCAGGGTAACATTCACCATTTACAGTATTATATCATCTGTCTGGCAACTGTCTTTTCTCAAAGACATAGCAAAAGAGGTAAAGAGATACAACCAAGTATTTACTTTGGTTAATCTGAATACTGAGAAGATAAGAGGAGTGCAAACTAGTACAGGAAAGAAAAATTTAGATCTATAAGGTGTTTTTTTCTTTAAAAAAGAAAGAATCCTCAACAAAATATTAGCAAATTAAATTCAGTATATTAAAAAAATAATATATGTGGCCAAATGGGATTTATCCCTGGAATGCAAGGGTGGTTCAACGTACAAAATCAATTCATATAATATACCACATTAATAGAAGGAAGGAAAAATATCATATGGCTATCTCAACTGATGCAGAAAAAGCATTTGACAAAATTTAATGCCCTTTCATGACTAAAAACTCAGAAAACTAAAAATATATGAAAGATTCCTAAATATGATAAAGGGCATTATAAAAATATCCCATAGCTAACATCATCCTTAATCATCCATTATCAGGAACGAGACAAGGATGCTCACTTCTGCCACTTCCATTAAACACATTTACTAAATTTCTAACCAAAACGGGCAACAAAGAGAAATAAAAAACATCCAAATATGAAAGAAAAAAGTAATACTACCTCTATTTGTAGATGACAGTATCTTATATCTCAAAAATTCTGAAGAAAACACACACACACACACACACACACACACACACACACACACACACAATTGAAACAAACTCAGAGAAGTCTAAGGATATCAGATGAACCCATAAAATCAATTTTATAAAAATAATAATAGCAATATACAATCTGAGAAGAAAATTAAGAAAATAATCCTATTTAAATAGCATCAAAAAAAATAAAATACTTTGGAATAATTTTAACCAAGGAGGTATAAGACATACACCAAAACCTATAAAACAAAGAAATTAAAGATGCCTTAAATAAATCAGAAGATATCTTATGTTCATGCACTGGAAGATGGTACTCTATAGTAATACAAATCAAAGTGTTCTACAGGTTCAGTGCGATTCCTATTAAAATCTCAATTATGTTTTTTGCAAAAATAGAAAAGCTGATCTGAAGAGTCACATGAAATTGCAGGGGACTCCAAAGAGCCAAAATAATCTTGAAAGAGGAAGAACTTTTCTTGAAAAAAGAAAAAGTTATAGGACTCACACTTCCCCATTTCAAGATTTATTGCAAAACCACAGTAATGAAAACAGCATGGTACTGGCATAAGGATAGACATAAAAATCAATGGAATATAATTGAAAGTCCAGAAATAAACCTATACATTATGGTCAATTAATTTTTGATGAGGATGCCAAGACCATTAAGTGATGAAAGAAAAATCTCTTTAGCAAATACTGCTGGGACAAACTGTATTTCTACATGCCAAACAATGAAGTCGGGCACTTACTTCTCATCATATACAAAAATTAACTTAAAATGAGTCAAAGATATAAATATATTTGAGACAAATGAAAACATACAATATACCTAAACTCATGGGTTGCAGCAAAAAGCAGTCCTAAAAGAGAAATGTATAGCAATAAATATCTATATTATAAAAGAATAAAGATC